TTCAGCATCAATGCAATGTTGTGTTCTCCTCCCAGGTGACCATTCGAGCTTCCCTCACAGGAAAGGCACCCACATTGCCCACATCCCCTGATCGAGCTGGCTTCATTGTCAGTCCAGAAACACTAAGTTTCAGTCAGCAAACCAAACCTCCAGTCAGTATATCCAAGTCTAAATCAAACGTCTCTGGAGGTGCGGGAAAAGCCAAGACGACGCAGAGCAAGAAGCAAAATGGCCGTACTAGCAAGCACAATCTGGCGCTCAGGAATCTCAGGTTTTTAATTGATCATCACATCATCACACTGCAGTCAGAAATAATACAGCAATAACTCATTTTCATCATTATTTGCTATTCCTGACTGATAATTTGTTCAGCAGTTAAAACGCAACAAAGCTTTTTGTAAAGGGGAGCTCCACTGATTTTATGCATCAGAGTCTGTTTATGATCTTGGGCAGTACTGTGGCACATGAAAAAACGTGGGGGTGTGGAATTAGGAAGAAGTGAGTTTACCAGATCTGTTGCTCGCTGCTCATCTCTGCTTGAGGCTGACAGCTCGAGGCTACGTTAGCTGCTACTATCTTAACACAGTGGAATTTCTAACCAAACTCTCAGCAGTTAACGAGCATTGTGGGTAATGTAGGCGCCATGTTTTGACAAGGAAGAAGAATGTGTTGAAACAATACGACGATATCTGTTAGCTGATTCGGTGGAGTACTCTTTAAGAAGTTAATTTTAATGGGTAATCAATAAATGGCAGTAGAATGGATGTTATAACTTAAATGTTAAGACTACTTAAAAATGGCTTTATTGTTCAGATGAAAATATTTGCAGTGTTGATGTCCTTTATTTTAATTAAAGGAATTTGCTCTTGAGCATGCATGTGCCTGGAAAAACTGGGCCCCCCCCCAAAAAAACAAAAACAATAAACAGTAATCCTCTGCATGTCCAGCTTTGGCCCCACTGTATCATTCAGGATCCCCCAGCCACTACCATAGACCCCTACCTTCTGGGTATCCACGACAGGATGGGAGCAAATTAATAGATGTTATTAAAGCCGAGCAATATACAAAGTAGCTAATTGTCTTTTCAATTAATTTTCCAGACACTCTTCATTAGGCTGGCTAAAAATAATGAGGTGTGTAGCAGATAGAGTGGAATTTATTTTTTTAATGAGTGTGATATTTGGCTAATTGGGCTCAGTAATCAAAAACAATATGATGGCTTTAGTCACATAAAATGGGCTTTTAAGCAGATGAGACACAAGATAATGTAGTGGTGTAACAGAAGAGTTCAAACTAGTAGAATCAAATTAGGAACATGTAGACAATTAACAAAGGTAAATGATTTTGGATTCATGCATCTGCAATAATCAATAGTGTTAGTTAAAATAAAAGACATCCTAACATCAACGATTCAAATCATTTAAAGATATCTGCAGTATTTTATAATCTGACCTGACTCATGAAGAAAAGAATCTTGTTTGAATCTCAATCTCTAACGCTTTGGTTTTTTTTGCTCCTTTTCTTCAATTTCCAGCGTAAGTGGAGGGCAGTACACGTGCATCGAGTGCAACTCACAAGTTGACGACTTCTTTTCTCATTTCCCAATGGTTTCAAATTGTGGCGCGTGCAAATATCGCACAAGTTGCAAAGTCTCCATTGGGAATCATATGATAAGGTCTGTATCAATTTGAATTTACTTTGTATTTGAAGCATTTATTTTATGTGTGTTTATCTGACAAATCCTGTGACTAATCTTTCTTTGGCCTCTTTTAGATTTCATAGTACCATAACCAAAAACAGATTTCTGAAAATGGATCATAAGAAAAATCCATCTGCATTAAAGTACGTACACTTCATGAATTGTGTTTTGCACATTAAATACAGAATGTTTTCTTTTTGAAGCCGAACAAAAGGATTTATATATTTCTCTCCAGATTTACCCTCGTGTGTCTCAACTGTGACCTCCTCGTGGACGCATCAGGAGGCGACCTGATGACCAAACATTTAACTGATAGACCAAGTCACATATGCAAAGTCATTCAGGAGAAAGGTTTGTTCCTTTTCTGCTAGTACCGAGTCATGGCCAGTACTTTGTGTTTCAAGTTTTCAAGGCTGTGTCTTGTTTTTAACCCAGCAGATATGAAAGCCAAAGATCGAGTGTGAGTAGAAACTACTACCCCCATTACATGCCTCTCGTTAATTTCTTAATCTATAATAAACACTTGACAATTTAGAATACCATTACCGATACCAACATTTATTAATTAAGTCCAGCTGAAATTAAATTGCATGGTTTTTTTTTTATTGTTTTTTTTTATTTTTTTTAATTCATTTTTGGTTCCATAATGGCGCCCCCTATTTTTTACATTAACCAGTTGGAACATCTCTAGTTCCTTATTAAAGTAGATGCAGAACTTGTTTTTATACAGCCAATCAAATTGTTTCACCATATCTGTAACATCAGTGCTGTAGACGGTCACACTAACAGTCAGACAGCAGCCTCCTACACAGCACAAGAGCCAGGCTATGAACAACAACCCACATTGGCTTTCATGCCAAAGTCTCTTCGTATCTTTGTTTAATATTGTTTGGTAGCAGTCTGTTCGGCTAACCAAGAGCGTATTGAGAGAGGCTGCATCTAAAGAACGCTTTTACAACGATGTCTTCTTCCTTTTCGTGTAGGCAACTCATCTTGGAGCAGCCACCAAAAGTCTTGTACTTCTTGACAACAGCACCCGCTCAAAGACCAAAGGAAAAGGACTTGAAAGTAACTGAATGTGTCACATCTCAAAGAATTACTCCCGCCACTGTCGAGCAGCCAGAGTTGGAGCTGATGTTACCAGCAGGTGATCAGGAAAAGGGTTCCACAGAAACACGTGTCATTTCAGGTTCTTCTCAAGATGAATCAAAGCCCACTTCATCGTCTTCCTGTACATCAGATGGGGGATTAGATCTCTGTGACGAGTCAGTTGGTAACTCAGAGAGCCTCGAGGTCAAAGAGACGCTCCCTGTCTCAGAGATTGTCCCAGAGGATGAGACCAGAGAACAGCAAACTAAATCAGAGTGAACCTGTGCATCAGCTGAAAAATGCACATGACACACGTGGAGACTGCACAGTTTAAAAGTTTAAAAGTAATTGCATCGCCAGCCATACCTCGGCATTGTTTCCTTTACAAATATTGAACATATGGTAATGTTGCTTTGGCTGCTGGTATTTCCTATAAATCCCCCGAAGAATCATGTGTTCGGCAAACCAACAACAAACAAAAAATACTCTTCTGTCAAACCTCCATTACCCAAATAAATGTAAATTATATTTGTATTTATAAATACAAATACGTCCACCCTTTTGCCCCATAATCTATATAGTTAAAAGAATGTGCATAGTCTTACATTTAAACATCAGAAATCATTATTCTGCACACTGACAGATTCCAGACCGCTCAGTGTCGGTTGTTGACTGGCCTTAAATCATTAGAGCTCATTTTGTGTTTCTTAAAAGCTTCACAAACTGGTTGATGTCCTTCAGGAACTCCCATCTGCCATAAAGAGGACAGTATTTGGCTCTGCTCCTGATCCATATAGGATCCACACATACTGACAAACTGTCATTTTGTTGGAGCAGTTTGAGTCTCATTTCCATCTGAGATTATTTTGCACTGGTATCTTGATTTTAGTTCAGATGCTCGTTTAGCTTTTTAAGTCACCAACATCATATTTTATCTTCTTGTTTGTTTCTTCCAATTATATTGAATGTAAGGTCGCTGACCCAAAAACATTATCACTGAAATGGTTTGTGGCAGAAATAAATGATGTACAGGTATACTGTTACCAGCTGGTTTTGAACATCCCAGACACAGTAACATGGATCCTAACACTCTTGAGAAAGATGCTTTAAACCACTAAAAAAATACATTAATACATGTATAGAAAATACTAGTGTAATATTTGATTCCCTAAGAAAAAGGGTGTCAGCTTAGTGAAACTTGTGGCTTGGATAAAACAGAAAAATAAGGCAGTGGTAGGGGAAAATGGCTACAACTATTTGAGAAGTGAATCAAGTAATATGTATTCCCCTGTACTCACGTAGATTTTATTCATACTTTAACTTTTGTGGTACATGTACCAGCTTATAAAAGAAATCTGTACGTTACTGTAGGCAGAGGTACTCGCTCAGCACAACACTCCAGCTTGATGAAATCTGTCAAACAATTTTTATGTCTCAGCTTCTGGTTGATTGAGCTGCCTTTTTTTTTTTTTGCATTTAGGGTTGGAAAAAAAAAAGAAGCTAATTCCCTGTAGTTCTGGGGATGTTTTATACAATGCAATTTGTTTACCTTGTGTGACTTAAATATATCAAATGTCTGTTTATTTCAAAGGTTTTTAAAAGGGATTTCACTTGTATTATACAGTATGTGTAGAGCAAGTCTGTAAATGCTTCTATGTCTACTGTAAATGTAACCACCTGAGTCTGTTTTGAAAACATTCCTCTAAAAATATTGTGCTCCCCTTAGGACCACATTTTCCTCGAAAATCTATAAACTACTGGGTTTGAATCAGTGTTCTTTTGTTTATGTAAATAAAACTTTACTACGAGAGGTTTGAGTCTTTTGGTGTTATTTTTCTTTTTTCTTTCTATTTCAAATTTGGTCAAACCATTGCCATAGGATAAACAACTCACTGCACTGGGATTCAACGTTAATAATGTGCACATGCAACATAAAAATACAGCTTAAAACACATTGGCATTTTTGTTTGTTTCTGATTTTTGATTAATTAATTATTGCAAAGTTTAAAAAAGAAGACTTCATTTGACTTGATATGAGCAAAATGAACCTATTAAGAATTACTTCCACTTATACGGTCATTCTTCACATTATACATTAATCGATCGTCAATAATCATGACGTGACGTTGAAATGTGAACGAGACTCGTTTTGAGTTTCCCGGACCTGACGTCATTGCCATCGCTCATTTCTATTGGCTGAGCGGAGGGAGACGCGGCGTTCCCAGGACAACGAAACGCCAAACAACCGAGGGAACCCAGCGACACCCAGGTCACTGCGCAAATACGCTCATTTGAAGTTAATTAAACCTAAGTTGACCAGTAACTAGAAAGCTACGAGGAGTTAAGTCAAGAAGGCGGGAATCGACGAAAAGCACCGCAAACATGGTAAAGCCTCGTTCCCGCACTGAAGTTACAGTTCACGTTAGCTTGACTGCTACAAACAGAGCAGCTAAGTTGGTTTGTTTGTTTGTTTCTTTGTTTTCTCTGCGCCTCTTTCACTGGGACAGAGTCGTAACTGGACGTACAACCAGCAGCAGAGGTTGATGTCTCAGCGGCAGAGTCAGGAGCAGCACAGGCAGCAGGAGCTCCGGCGTGTGGACAGAGAGCGGCAGCTGCAGGCCAGTGTGCGGGGCCAGGAGAGCTCCGAGAGGAGGAGACACCTGCGGCAGGTGCAGGAGGAGCTGAGGGAGAGAGAGATGGAGAGCGCTCTGATGAAGGTAGAGGTTTCTGTAGTGGGAGGGGTGTTAGACACGGTTAACAGGTCTCTCAATTGTGTTTCCAGCAGAAGTCCATTGTCTTTATTTAGTACAGGAATTCATGATAAGTGCAATAAAATGGCAAACAAATGTGGATAAAAACGTTTAAAGTAACAGTAGCGTAAAGGATAAAAACAACCCCATATTTAGATATGTGCATACATTTAAACTAGGTAAAATATGAATGAATAATTGTAGGGCAAAGAAATAAGGTAGTAGTAGATGAAAGGGGTTATTCAAATATTATTTAAGAGGAAATTAATATAATTGTTAAACAGACTTCCTTGCACTTATTTTTAAGGTTAATTAATAACTTTGTATTGAACCTGTTATTACTGTGCTAATTCACTACAGAAATGCAACATTTACTGGTAAAATTAATTGTTTTTTAGACTAAAACTTTATGGTCAGATAATCAGACTGAACTAATTAATTTTTGCTGGGGAAAAAAACAGTTCATTTGTTGGAATAAGGTGAATTTGTCTTTTGTATTCCTAATTTTATAGGTAACATGGAGGAATTGTAAGGAAGCTGTTTTGATGAGCAATACGCCACCGCCCATTGGTGTACACTACACTGTATCATGAAGGTATTAACTGTAACCTACCTACACTCATATGTACATAATCATAATTTACTTTGACTTGAAGGCAGAGGAAGAGAGAATAAACAGAGAAAAGCAACTTGAACAAGAGGAGAGAATGGCGAAAGAGCTGGCCCGCATCAACTATGAGACGCAAAGAGAAGAGAAAATGAGGCAGTATATTAAAGAGAACAGGTACGCACACTTACCTCATTACCTTGATGTACTGTATATTCTGGGCCGCTATACAAATACAAATACTAATGCAACACTTTTGTGTAGTCTTTCTCAGTTTTGGTCTCTTTATTCAGTCTCTCTTGTGTCATTTTTTAAAGTCACTTTAAATACTTTTCAGCATGGAGCTACGAGAGTTGGAGTCAAAGCTGAAGTCTGCATATCTGAATAAGGAAAGAGCTGCACAGATTGCTGAGCAGGAAGCTACGAGGTTTGAGACAATGGTGAGCACTGGCTTCGATGATTTTAATCATTTAAAAAAAGATAAAGAAAGATTTTGCTAAAAGAAAGTGTTTTTTTTAATTTTACATTTCAAAATTACACATTTAGTAGTGAATTCATCCTAATAAGGAGCTTTGAACTCCTTAATTAAGACTATAACTCAAGTGGTTGTTAATACCAAAGTTTTCTGAAATGAAGCCCACAGGCTATGTACTCTGAATCTCTTTTCTCTGACGTTAGCGCGAGGAGGCAGACTTTGCTCGCAAGATGAAGGGTGAACGCGAGCGAACAGCCGCTGAGCAGCAGAGGCTGGAGCAGAAACGCCACGAGGAGCTGGTGCAGTATCAGAGAGAGCTGGAGCAGCAGCTGATGGACCAGGAGCGCAAGAGACAAGAGGCGTACAAGGAGTTCCTCAAAGAGAAGCTCCTGGTTGATGAGATTATCAGGAAGATTTATGAAGAGGATCAGATGTGAGTCCATTATTCACTCTTACACTCTTTAACATGATTGCACAATCCATACAAGTACAACATAAAATATTGTGTGAGCAAAAGCTTGACTTGGATGCTGTGGATTTAAAATTGTCTCAGTACTGAATTTCAAATAAAGCGTCTACTAGCACCCGCTAAGTCTCTGGTAGTATGATGGATTTATTGAAATGAAATGTTTTCTTGAAGGGAGAGACAGCTGAAACTGGAGAAAGTCAGAGCCACTCAGCAGCACATTGAAGAGTTCAAGAGACAGCAGGCCGAGTGGAGACGCATGGAGCAAGAAAAGATCGAGGCCGAGAACAGACGCATCAAGGAGTTTGCGAGCCAACAAGAGCACATGGAGGAGACCAGAATGGCTAAGATCAGAGAGAGAGAAGAAGCAAAGGAGCATCTTCATAAAATAGTTGAGACAACTTTTCTTTCTACCCATTTAATGACACGCCTGTATTTGGCTCAAGAAATCACTCCTCTCTCTTCTGCTCTAGCTGTCTGACAAGATTGAAGAGGAGAAGCAGCAGCGTGAAGAGATGGAGCGAATCCGTGAGGAACTTTATTTAGAAGAACAAGAAGAGGCTAACAGGCAGAGAGAAATTGTAAGTATCACTTTTTAAACATCCATGCTTAGTGACCATAACAAAGATGACAGTTGAGATTACAGTAATGATGGAGATTCACTGTTTACTATTCCTGTGTGGGAATTATCTTCATATTTTTCTCCCCTCTAACAGGAAGAGATGGAGAAGAAAATCCGACAGAGGCTGATGATGCAGCGGACCTGCCAGGAGCAGATGGCTTTCAAAGAGATCCGGAGGCAGGCGGAGAAAGAGGAGGAGGAGGCCTTCAGGAAAATGATGATGGCTAAGTTTGCAGAGGACGATCGTATAGAGCAGATGAACGCCCAGAAACGACGCATGAAGCAACTTGAGCACAAACGGGAGGTGGAGAAACTGATAGAAGACAGAGGACGGCAGCGTGAGGCAGAAATGGTACAGACCACTCTCTCTGCGTGCATAATTACATCCAGAATACGCTGGTGTAGTTTTACTGTCAGAAGCTGTAATGCTCATACTGCACTGTGGAAGGAAACATGTAGCAGTAGCCAAGTTTGGTCTCAATCATATTCGATGTTTCATGTGTTTTTGACCACAGGAAGTGTTCGAGGAGCATGATCAAATATAATACACTGTGCAGCTGTATCATCTTTAATTGTAATGCCAGTTTTAAACGATCTGCTTCGTTAATAACACGGATCTCTCTCTTCAAGGAACTGGAGGCTAAAGAAAGAGCGATTGAGCAGGAGAGGGAGGCGCTGCGTAGACAGATAGTTGAGGAAGAGAGGCAGCGACTTCTTAAACGTCACGCAACAAAACTCCTTGGATATCTTCCAAAGGTATGAGGCAGCGTACTGAACGAACCGCCAATCATTTGACACTTGTTCGTATCCGCTGTACGTCAAACAACCGTATGACCATGAGTGTTTCCATTCGCAGGGCTTACTCCGTGAAGATGACCTGGAGCACTTTGATGAAGACTTCAGAAAAAACTTCAAAACGCGTCAAGCAGATATCTTCTCTGAAGACGGCTGGGATGGCGATGATTAGAAGTTTGGAGTTGCACACCATGCTAGTTGTCAGTTTAAGGTTACAGTGAACTAAGTAGTATTCTTGGTGTGATAGCACTTGTTTAGCATTCAGTAACAACACAATGATTAGAGACATTGTTTTATTAGGACTGTTCTTATCTTAATTAAAATCATTCCAGAAAAGATCTGAGGTTGTCTGGTGGATAAATGTGATAATAATTAGGAGACAAATGTTGAATTCAAACTTTTTAATTGTCGTACTGATCAGATTCAGTTAACTGATGTCTTTGGCTCTTCGTCTATGACTTCCCCCAGTCTAGAGCTTTCATGAACTCGTCTTCTGTGAACGACAGCAGCTTGGCAGCTTCAAAATGCATCTGCACAAAAACAAAAGTTAGTTTATGTTTTGATTAAAACCTCTGAAGAGAGAGTGTGTTAGCAGGGTACAGCAGAGACACTTACCTTTTGTCTTTTGAGGACGTCGATCAGTTTGAGCTGTTTCTTGAAACCCACGATTAGCTCTGCTTTCTGTTTTTTTAGCATTTTGTTTTCAGCAATAAGATTTTCTTTGCTCTGATGTTCCTCGCTTTTCTTGTCCTTATTCAAAAGAATTTAAAAGACTGGAATTAGAAGAACCTTAGATTTGTGAAGCTTAAGGTCAAAACATGTTGAAATTCAGTTGTAGTTGTTGCTTTATGTAACTTTATGACGAAGTTATTGAGCTCTTTGTTTTTAATGTCACTGTAGTCAATCTTTTATCTATTAAAAGGGCATTATCTTTTGTTTAGGATGGTCTTACATGATCTTACTTCAAAAACTGCTATACTAAGACAATCATAACTACATGGCTTTAAAATTAGTTCAAAGACCCTGTAACACATTTAGCTGCTATGACTTCTACAAGTAGAATGTTTATTCTCAAATAAAGACTCAATTCTTTGTGATTGTTATAAGTATCGTCCTTTTATCTCCAAGTTTTAATCATTACGTCTAATTTATATTTGTATGACTGCACATATGCTTTTCAAATCTCAGTATCATTTTAAATTATTATAAAAGTACACTGGATTTTATTAAGATTGTACAGGTGATTCCTGCAGTGAAAGTCTGTTTAAACTACATTTCAAATGTTTTACATCAAATTTAAAATAAGAACCATGTTTAAAGGACTAAATAGTGAATCCAAGCACGTACAAGCGTTTACATTTTTGACAGAAAGGAAATGTAGCAAAGAATGACATCACCACATATAAGCTTTTTTTTTTGCTGGTTTGGTTCAATTTAGTGATTTCCTGTTTTATGTACACGTTTAACGTACAGTTAAGATAAATCATTATCTAGTCAAAAATATTTTGCTACAATCATGATACAACATGAATATGAGCATCTTTAAATACGCTAATCTGTAACGTGATAAAAAACATCACATTTGAATCATTACATTAATAAAACCAGGACTATAATTTGCTGACCTTGTTCATCTGTTTCATCTTGTTCAGTTGAGTCTTTAACTTCTCCCCTTCCTCCAAGGCTCTGTTCAGACGAACCTCCACGGTGCCGTGGACACCTGCTGCTTGTTTCTGGGATCTGTTCAGGTTTTCTATTTCCTACATGGAGCACATCCAGGAGGTAAACACGCATGAGCAGTTCATACAATGTAATATACAGCATATTTTGCAGTCTTATGTCAGACGAGATCAATGCTCAGACCTTGTGTAAAGCAGACACTTGCAGCTGAAGGCCTTCACATTTTTTGCCCGACTCCTCCGCTAAAGCTCTGTGCTTCTCAATCTGTGTTTGCTGGATGCCTGTTGTTTTCTGCAGCCTGGCTCGATCTTCCTCAAGCTCCTTAATTTTTGCACAAAGCTTGGCGTTTTCATCATCCTGCAACACAAATACAATGTAATCTATAGACGGCGTCTTCGATATTTTAGTTTAAAGTCATCTATTAGAAAGAATGATGATTAAAAAACAATAATGCAACCACCAGTGTTTCATATTCTGATGTGCTAGGGGGCCCTATAAATTGAGACTTTATGGGAATATGATGATTATTTAAACACTTTTCACTAACAGACGTGTGTCAGGTGTTTCTCTTTTTCCATCATTGCATGTTTAAGCTGAAGCTCTGTCTCCCTCTGCTGATATGGAGGGACAACAACAGTTCTGTTTGAATCTCTGTTTATCTACAAGCTTTACCTTCTTGTAATATTCACATGAGAGTTGATCCAGTTCCTCTTGCATAATCCGTAGTTTTGCCTTCAGAACGCGTATTTGAGCATCTGAAATGCCTTAATGGACCAGAGCATTATTAAAATGATAATAATAATAAAGAATTTAATGATAATAAAATGAATGAATATAACTGGGGTTCCAAAAGTTGCATAAACATTACCTGATCCTACGTTGTCTCCAGCGTAAGACACATCATCCACAACACTTTCATGAGTCACAGTGTCGTTCATCTTCTCCTCCATGCTACGGATCGTCTTTGCCAGGAAAAAGTCAGTCGAGTCTTCTACAGCTGCTGAATTATCCACATGAGACACTGTCGGGGTTCTGAAATCAAGCAAACAACATGAAAAAACAGAACGTTAATGTAGAATAAATTTATTGAAATGTGTGACCTACACTTGTTTCCTTATAGATAAACATGCGTGGCTCTAAATAATGAGATACAATCAAACTCACGGTGTTTTACTGCGAGGCTCTTTTCCGTGTTTTCCTGCACCCATGTTTTGTGATGTTAATGTGACCCTTTTTTTGGTCACCACCTAAGAGATGGCAAACAGAAACTGTACCTCAGGACTGTAAACGAGTGTCTGTTGAGCAACGCAACAACAACAAATGAATATTCTGAACTGATACCTTCGCACCGGGCGCCTGCACAGCGCACTGATGAGGCTTTATTATCCTGGAGGTGAACAGATGGATCAATTACATCAATAAAAAAAAAAGAAATGGATAATTTTTGTTGATTAAGTTCTTTCTCTTGCACTGTTTTAATTAACGATGAATATTTGGATTCCTGTGTGGAGTCTGAAGTGTTCCACTGGAATAAATGTGGACTCCTGCAGTGATGAAGAGAAAATTAATCAGATATTTATTACCTTGAATCCTCTTCATCCTCAATGTCGGTGAGCAGGAGGGCGGATAAGGGTTTTGACAGAACTTCACTTTGTTCTCTCTACAATTAAAAAGTCTTTAATCAATAACAACTAAATATAATGTGTTATTCTTCAACTAACTGATGTTGAAAATGTTGATAACTTACCATGAGTTGCTCTGTCTGTCTTACTAGCTCTGCAGTTTTGGCTTCCAGCTCCGCATTTAAGAGTCTGGAGGAAACACAAGTGAGAAAGATAACATTAACAAGGATTTATATGCTGCAAGAAATACAATACATCCAGTTTTGTCATTTACAATCAATCACTTTACGTAGGAGGAAAAGCTGAAGGAGTTCAATCGAGTTCTACTCATTAAAAAATAATAAACTTAAAATGAATTAGAAGGGTGATCTGAAGACCTCATACATACATTCATACAAATTCAGTCAAAGCAGAGCCAACAAACAAATATCGGGACAGGCAGTCTTACTTGTATTGTTCTTCTTTAGCAAGAAGGTCATCTGTGCGCTTTGTTGGACCAGAGGCAGATTTTACCTGCTGTCTTACGTCATCCCTCTGGGACCTCTCAGCCTTACTGCTAGAAGAAGGGCGTTTCTTCGGCTAAACAAGACAGAGCAGTAGACTTTATAACATTTAATGACATTACTGTAGATACAATATCAATTCATTTGTATTTCACCTTGTTTCTCCAACATATAAGTTAACAATACCAACAGACTGCAGTACAGTCAGTTCGTCCACCAGAGAGCGCTCACATGTGTATTTTTAAACTATAAAATGTTCCTCTCACCTTGGTTACAGTTCTTTAAAAATCTAATTTAAAGGATGTTTGGTTGTGTATTTAAGTTAGAAAAGCACTATCAGCCTATATATCATAATCAGATCTCACTCTTGTGTTTGTTATTAGCCTTAAAGAGCCAGTATCAGTCCCAGTACACAATAGTTTACCCCTGCAGTCATACAGGAGGAGAAGTGGTCCAACAGTGAGGGTCTTTCTCATTAACCCCTTTACAAATGGTACCTCCATAAAGAGCACCATGCTGGGACACGTGTGTACAGAGGAAATGATTCTGTCTAGTGATAAACTGTATAAGGACA